TGAATTTGTGTACCGCTAGTTTATATTCTTATTTGTGGTGTATTTTAAAGAAATAAACATGATTTTCGTATATATGATCATTGTCATATATTATTATTACAATAAAATAACCATATAAAAATAAGTATTTTTAATTCTTCAAAAAGCTAAAGTAAAATAAAATTTTCTTTGTTACCATTTAATATACTATTTGGTAAAATTTTAAGGGAGGATAGAACACAATTATTTTTTGGAAATTATAGAACGTAGGATATTATTTACTTCTGATTAGATACAATTATATTATGTATTATATTTATAAAGATATTAAAGAATAATTTAATGTATAACCACTACATTCTAATTTGAAATAGATTTAATAAACCGAAAAAATGTGTACAACTGTTATGTATAAACTGTTATAAATAACAGATAGTTAAAAATAATGCGTCCCCGTCAAACACTATTTGCATGAAAATTCAAATTTAAATAAAATTTTATCATACATTTTTCTTACAAAAATTATTATTATTATTTTAACTTTAACTTTAAATAAATTTAAAGACAGACTAGACTTTGTCTATTTGTATCAAAATAAACTAAAAATTAAATTTTATTTTAATAATATTTTCTTATAAAATATAGCTGCAAACCATAAAATAAATATATATATATTTCATTAATAAATAATGATTTATATAATAATAATGCATTTGACTAATTTTTTGTACATTTTTATTTTTTGCACCAAAAGCTGTTATTCAAACAATAAAGACTTGGTGAATCTTTTGAAAGGAAAAAACTGGACTGACATATGTAAGTGGACAAATGGTATAAATTATGGATCTGAAGATAATCGCGTAAAAGTTACAGTGGAAAATTTCAATAATTCAGTAAATGAGATTTCCAATAGTGATATTAATGAAAAAGTGAATCAACTTTTTCGAATTGTCTCCTGTGATTTTGCTTGTTATTTAAATGATATGGATTTAATCTTATTCAGCTACTTGAATCAACAAATAAATGAATTCGAGTTTAAGATTCTTCACCTAAAAGAAATTTTTCGGAATAGGTTTATAGATCTTAACATGATATTTAACATTATGAATGAAATTTTTTCAACATTTAGTACTCTCGGCGTTGCAGAAAAGGATATCTTTTACATTGTTCATATACTTAAAATAGGATCTTATTTTGATGAAACACTTAAACCCTTTGTAGCTTATGGAACGTTTGATTCTTTAAATGAAAGATTAAAGTTTTTTTTAAATCAAAATTGTTTACCGAAAATATTTAATGAAAATTTAACTGATTATATGAATATTGAAAAGGCCTATTCTAAATATAAAAGTGATTTTTTAAATTCATATCTAAAAATAAATGCTTATTTAATGAATAAATAATATTTTTTTTTACACTATTAATGTATGATATGTAATTATTATAGTAATGATTTCTTCTGAAACATTTTACCATTAAAAAATTATATAAAATTGTTTAACGTTATTGTTTAATCTTGATTTTTAATAAAGATATGTTGTTTACCAATTTTGTATTAATTGCTTGAAAATTAATAATTTTTAAACTTATTAAATTATATGTTTCCAAATATCTTTATGTGTATTGTATGACTATTAGAATAAGAAAATAATTTTTATAATTTAACTGATATTAGTTGAATTTCAGTTTCGTTCTAATGCTGCTAACAGTAACTAAATATAAATATAATTTTACTAAAAAAAATTTAAACTTAAAATAAATTCCATCTATATGTATTACATATAAAGTACCAGATGCAATATATTGTAATACATGTAATATATCAATACGAATATCACTTGACCGTTATAATTATTTAAATGAAATATAAAAAGGCATATTAAATAGTAAAATTCACATTGTTATAAATAACTAAAAATAACGATGCACATTGTTGTCACGACTCAGTGCCGACGTTTCATAGTTGGGTCAAGTAAGATGATGATATCTAACTGTGATTAAAATCGCTACCATAATAAATGCTTCGATGCAAAGACTGTGTTTAATTTTGAAAGGAATTATTGAATTACTAGGCTTACGCACCTATGAGTCAATCAATGTGAATAGACGAAATGAACACTACTATAACGAAAAAAAAAATTTAAAACAAATATTTAAACTTGGTGCTTCCTCCATTTTGTTGCTGCAAACGTATTAATTAAGTTTTTGAAGTACATTGATTCAAGTTATTCTGAATTTAAGATAAATTATGTCAAACTGGATATCTTTTTATGCGAAATTTAATTGCATAGGTAGTTTTTGTTTCTTTTAAAAAAAACTGAACAACCATTCACTAGTTTCATTAGGCGGAATAATAGTTAAATATTTTTTCAGATCACTGTCTAATTTCGGAAATGTTGCAATAATCTTTTAAATAATATGTTCCTGTGTTTGACTAGTATATAAAATAAAATAAATTTACAAGCATTTTTATTCATTTCATTGAATAAAAGTACATTATACTATAACCTTTTAAATAAAAGTTAATATACAGTGCTGTCAAATGAATTTTCATGTAACAGAAAAAAAACGTCAATAACGGTGTAGCATAACACTACTCTTTTGAATTTTTGGTCTTTTGCGACGGATGGTATGTCTAAGATGTTTCAGAACTTTATTGTAGTGCTTCTAGAGCCTGTGGAAAGATACATATGGTGAACAAATTTTTGACATAAAAAAAACACAAAGACATCGCTTTCACATTGGATCATTCTTGGTGAGCTTTTTTGGCTTCACCCACCCAATGAGATGATAAAACTTTTGTTTCAATGTTATAACCCGAGATTCATCACCTGTTATAACTCTTAACAAAATTATTTTTTCCTTTTTTGTACGATCAAGCAGTACTTAGGAAATCTGGACACAATGTACTTTTTGATTATCCGTCATCAAACACATTTTGCAGAAACGCGGTGCATTTTCAATAATTTGGTCTAAATTTCATGACAAGTTCCAAACAATTAGCCGACCTATTCTGCAAAACTTCCTAATGGCCAAATGTCGCTTTATTCGCACCAGTGTTGATTTTGTTGACGTGTAGTTGTCAGTGACGTGGAAGGATGACCAGCACGCTCGTTGTCTTCAATCGACTTTTGACCAATCTTAAAATGTTCATGCCACAAAAAACATGCTGTATGATACATAACATTATTACTATCATCGTAAGCCGTGTTAGGCATTTCAAAAGTTTCAGACGTAATTTCCCGAGTTTAGTATAAAATTTTACAATCAGTCGTTATTCTTTGAAGTCACTCATTCTGAAATCCGTCAATTAAAAAAATCAAACTTAACCAAAACTAGTATAGTTCATCAACAAACTGTGGTAACTGTAATTGGTATACGTTGTTATCGTCAGTTGATATGTACAAAGATAAATCAATTAAGTGGTTTTCTCCGAGACAAACAATTTCAATAACTCCTGTATATTTAAAAAATAAATTTAAGGAATATAAAAAAATTATATCTAAAACACATAAATGCGTAATAATAAGCAGATACATTCATTAATAAATGTGTGTAGACTAAAAAAAAAACCTCACAAAACGCTAAAAAATTAACGGACTGTATTTTTTTTTTCATAATATCTCAAAAATATCTTTTAGCGAGTCTGATGAACATTTCGGACCTTAAGTCGCAAAACGTCGACGTTAGTGAACGTTTTTCTGGCATATAATTGACATTTCAAAAGCTCAAGGATGAGTGGAAAAAATGTTAGCCTCATGTCAATTTCTATAGTTAATAAATATAAAAAATATTTTACAATACTATATATAAAAATTAATTATTTTGTATACGTTTAATCGTTATGATTGGTAATTACAAATAAATTCTCTACTATCACATTTACTGTGTCAATATATTGTAAAAAAAAATATAAATCATATTTAATGTATTAAAAATTTCATAATACCTAGACTTATTTTATTAATATTAAATGATTATTTTGTATATCACTAAATAAAACACATCTTTTCAATTATATTATACTAATGGGAGCAAACCTATAATTTAATAAATTTTTAATTTCAAATATATATTGTTTTCTCATAATGCTGTTCATTTTTAGTTTCTAATGAAATTAACAAAAATTATACAATACATGTATAAAAAGTGATTATTTTGTATATTTTTATTTATTGCAAATGGTATAAAATATTAATTCTGTACATTTATATTTAATAAATTTATTATATATTGTAAAATAAAATACAAATCATATTTAAAGTGCACATATGTCATAATACCCAAATATTTTCTATTATTTTTAAATTAGGTTAGACTTTTTTAAATTATTAACTGATCATTTTTAATAATATAACAAAACTATGACAGCCTTGCTATTGAAAGTAAACCAAAAATGTAAAGAATTCAAATTTTACATCTCATATACTAATTTTTTTTTAAATAATGCAGATAATTTTATTTTCTAATAAAAAGTTATTGTTGATAACTTGCGCTTATTAGTTAAAAGTAAAAACGTTAATTAAACCCACTTCTGAAAAAAATTAAAAAACAGCGAGTATGTATTTCGAAAACGTTGTTTTCATCATCAGTGACAAATCATTGTTAGTCTTGGTTTAGTATTAAGTTTGACATTTGGTTTTAAGCACATCAAAACAGTAAAATAATTGTTCTAGAAATTATTTTTTTCAATTTGTATAAATTATCATTGATTTATTTAACATCCACTAGAGGCATTAGAAAATGTTCTAAAAACTTTTATCCAACATAAATCAACTTACTGAAAATGAATTAAATAATAAATAAGTAAAATGAAAATGAAAATTTTAGCGATTCAATTATATTTACATTTTTGTAATATACAGATAAAAATTTTAACATAAAACAAAATTAAATTTAAGTTATACAAAAATAAATATATTAGAAAAATCAATAAAAATCTGATATGCTGTACAATAAAATATATATAATCAAAACACAATGATTTAAACTTTACTTTTCAGTAATATATGTCATTCGACAGCTAGCTGTAGCAAAAATAAAAGAATTGTAAAGTATTTATATAATTTCAAAAGTCGGTTATATATCTAAATAAGTATGTTTATAACGGTAAAATATTAAAAAATAGGATATGTGAACATTTGTCTTTATAATGTGAATAATTAGTAAAATTGACTGAATTATAATTTAGCAATAATAGTAATCAACAGATTTTGGATACTTAAGATGTTTTCTGTTCGTGTAAAGTTTGTTGTCGTTAGATAAGTATTTCGTGTTCATGTTGAAAAATCGACCGAAAAACGCAGTAATAGAATCGTGTCTTTCGTCGATATAATTGTATTGGACTTCCATGTTGAGGTCGAATAATTTTCCAAATTGAATCAACTAGAAAATTAATCGATCAACATTAACTACAATTGTGGTTTACCTATAGAAATTAGATTAATGTACCTCATTTCGACTTGTAGTTTTAGGTATGTGCAGTTCTACGTTGGGAGCAATACTTCTGAGGCGGAAGAAAACTTTTCTACCGCCTCCTTCGTAGTCGTTACACATATTTTTCTCGAGACTGTAAGCTTCGTGTTTCTTATACGAAGGGCCGCCCCATGGGGGAGACGTCACTATGACCTGTGGCTTATAATTGCTTAACGTTACTGCAATATCGAAGACATCTCCCTGTATAAATGTAATTTTGTCCCTGACTCCATAAATCTCTGCGTTTCTTTTGGCGAATTCTAATTTTTTACCATCGATATCAGCAGCGATTACTCGTGGGTATCTCTTGGCCAATTGAATGACGTTTCCACCAGCACCACAAAATGGATCCATAGCGACTTCTAGACCAGGGCATCTCAACGCTATACGTGTGCTTAAGATCTCGGGATAAACGGAATAAAATTATTCTGAAAAAAAAAACGTTATCGTTAATAGTAAAATACTAAAATTTGCTTAGATAATTTTTTTATTACCATTGTCCATCATGATTCCTTCGTCGAATTTAGAGAACAATAAGTACCTCTTATCCCATAAATGTTTTTTAATATCATGAGGACAAAAAAGTTTAAGTTTGTTTCTTCTTACAAAGTTCCATTTCCAAAAAAGTCTGCAGCGTCACAACTGCCAGTGCAATTAACATAATATCTTTGATTACTTGAATCGGAATTATGAAATATATGACCAATATCGTTATCACAAATAACAAATCCGAATCCATTTTTTTTTTTTTTATGAGTGTATGCACTCAAAACTTGAAATATTTAAGTTATACTTAGAGAAAAATGTAAAATTTAAAGAGTTTTAAATATATATGCGTACTAATTTATCACGGAAAAAACTTAAGCATAAGATCACCAACGGTGTCGATTTAAACAGCATTGTTCATCCTATTTAAACAAAAAAAAAGTCTTGTTTAATTTTTATTTAAGCCAATTAATATAATAAAACATTTTTGACAATTGGCCAACAATTATTAAATTTGTTTAATAAAATGTGTTATATTTTAGAAACTATTTCTATGAAACCAAGAGTAGAAATTTTTTGTAACATTATGTATAATTCGAAAAAATATAATTAAAAAATAATAGTTATTAAAAAATAATAAAATATAATTAAATTTAAATACTGGCTGAAAACAATCTACCGTGATTCTTAAATGACATATTTGAATTAATGTAAATATTTATCTTAACAACGTTATTTGTCGTTGGCCAATAAAGTCTTGTTTACTTTTGATTTAAGACAATTAATATAACAAAATATTTTTGACAATTGCCCAACAATTATTAAATTTGTTTAATAAAATGTAATTAATATAAAGTTACGAAACGTACCGGTATGTTCATTAAATAAAACTATTGTCAATTCCTTAAAAATTAATTATATCTTAAAAACGATTTCTATAAATCAAAGAGTAAATATTTTTTTTATAACATTCTTTCGATAATAACTTATTTCGGTCTCTAAATAACAATTGATTTTTATTCTAACGTATACATGTATAATTCGAAAAAATATAATTTAATAATATTGGCTGAAAACAACTTATGGCAATCGTGAATAACATATTTATTTTTGAAAAAATTAAAAAATTTGTTTTAGCAACGTTATTTGTCGTTGGCCTAAAATCAGAAAAAAATTAGTATAAAAAATCTAGTGAACTAAAAATTCATTGGGACTTTTAGTCTAACCAGCGAACAAAGAACATATAAGCTCTTGTGGAAGCCAACCAGTCTAGGAGTCTCAGTCACGTCGAAATCAAATTTCAAAAATCTTGAAATCAACGCGACATTCGCAAGTCGAACATATTGACTATTGCAGCCGTCAAATTCATTTGCAATATTATTAAACATAATTATGACGCCGTTAGAGAGAGGAGATCGGATTGTCATAAGATATTATGACTACTTGCAAAATTTAACAATTACCAAAGTAAATGACGAGAATCGTGAACGGCCCGAAGAGTATCGCGTTAAACTTAAAGGAATATGTGGGCAATTTTTTGACACGTCCTCGATGAATGTCCTTACCAATGTTATCAAAAAGAAAGAAATATTTAACGTCGTAAGTGAAAAATATGTTTACATAGCATAGTTATTTATACTGATATTTTGAAAGGTATTTATTGACAAAAATGAACTCGTATTGACATATTCCACTACTAAAAAAAGTCTCAACGCTCAGATTTGGAACGCTGAGAATTTGAAACCCAAAGACGTCGGCAGCAGATATGAGAATCATTATACCAAAAATAACGCTTACAAACCTGGACTTAAGCCGAACAATTACGCAACATATAATGCCAAACGTTATCCAGCCAACAATGAAAAACGTTATACGGCCCAGGATAGACTTATGAAATACCGTAAAACTGACGAACCACAAATTGTACATCAACCAAATGAATTCAAACAACCCGAAAATAGACAACAATACAACACCAATAATACACGATATTCAGCTCAAGACCGACTTAAACAGTACAAGGACATGGTTACTGCAAGAGAACCGCAGCTTAAACAATATGGCACTAAGACCACAGACATGGACCGATATGAAGTTAAAATAAAACACTGCAAAGAACAAAATCTCAGCACTGACGTGACAAAAGACACACGTTATGAGAAACCAACATTGAAACTAGGCGAGACGCAAAAAGTCAGTTATTTATAATTATTATACAAACAATCTATTATTACTATAATTTTTCCACAGATAATGATATTTTAAAAACGAACCAAGACATCTTATTTTGTACACACGATGGAGAGTAGAAAGTCTGTAATCGCCTTGTGCGATAAACTACGCAAAATTGAAAATAACTTGAGACCTATCCAGAAAGTCGAGAAGTACGACATGTGCTTGATATTTTTTGGCGCTGAATGGTACCGTGGGAAAATTATGGACGAGACGAACGATGGCATGTTAAAAATTTACTTGATTGACACAGCACAAATGATGTCGTTTAACCGAAAACAAGTCTGTGAGATGCCAAAGAACTTCGAAGGAGAGTCGTTATTAATTGAAATCGTCGTAACACCTCCGCCAAAAGAAATACTAACTACTGTTTATGCTAACGTAGAAGCAATAAAAACTATTGGACCGAGTACGGTGGTGAAACTGATTTAATTATTGCCTACAACTACCTTATTACTCCTATTGATTTGCATTCGACAGTCAACGTGTATTCCCTAACGTTGTTATCGGAAGATTACGCGGTGTCGATGATGTCTTCTTTCATTAAAAAAAAACTTTTGTTTACTTTTATTGTGTATTGTTTGTATTTTCATAACCAATCATCTTATTTCTTTATTTATTGTTTTTATATTTGCTTGTTGTTTCATTATTTACAGTTTTTTTTTGCTTTATTTGTTCACTTATCTGTTTAAATTAAATAAAGCTGTTCGACACATATAATACTTTGTTATCGTTTAATTTTACTTTACTTATTTTAAAGTACTTTTACGGTTGACGAAAGGGATAAAGGGAGATTGGTTGGTTTTGTGATAAATAAAAGTAAAGGCGGCGGTGGTTTGGCATAAAGGAAAGTGGCTGGAGGTACTGGGCAGCGACAATAGTAGAATGAAATAGAAAGGCATCTGGGGGTATGTACGTAAACACTTCTGATATATATGAGTAAGATGAAATATCAACGAAAGACTACTATCTAACTAGCTCCTGCAAAAAACGCATACAGGAATTTCTGGCGAGTCACAAATATCGTCGTATTTCTTTATAAAAATACTTTAGTTAGTTTGATTTCGACAGCCTACCCCTTACTGTAACTGTTTATCACTAAAAATCCTGTGGCATTATTATAGATTGTATTATTATAAAAGAATTGTATTATTGTAATAGAAGGTATTATTATAGATTTATTATGTATATTTTCACTTGCTTTTAATTATTTAATATTCTGTTGAGATGAATCGTGTAGTTGATGTCACTGTTAGCGATATGTGTTCTTTGCACAATAGATTATACTAGCGTCGTCCTACGCTCCGATGGCATCAGGGCGGCATTGATAAGGAACTTGTAAAACTCGAGTCCATATGCGCCATACCAGTTCCACGTAATGTCAAAGACTTACGCAGATTTTTAGGGGTCTGTAATCGGTATAGCCAGTTCGTCGACAACTGCGTGGACAGCATAGACTCAAAAACAGTGGTCGTGGTCCCTCGCACAGCAAAGCGCTTTTGAACACATCAAAACAGCGATATACGATTCATCACGTCTGTCTCGCCCGAATTACACAAAAACGTTTTGCCTACAACCCGACGCTAGCGGACTAGGCTTGGGAGAGGTATTGTTTCACAGCACGGCAACGATCCGGCCAAAGAAATGTTGTTGCGTACGCTAGTGGAAATTAACGGACGTGCAAAAACAATACGTCGCTGTTGAACGCGAACGTTAAGTGATCATAGGGCCACAGACAAAGTTAGATCATTTTTACAATACGCCCCTTTTGAATTGTATGCGGACAACGCCGCGTCAACGTATTTACACAAATCGAAGGGCAACAACAGCAAATTAACCAGGTGGGCACTACACCCAGGGAACCTAAATTTCACCACAGCACACTTACCGGGCAAACTCAATGAAGCATCGGACATGCTGTCCGGCCACCCAACGGAGGGGCCCGCTGTCAACGAAGACGCCCTCGACGACAATTTAATAGGGACATCCACAACACAGCCGTCCTCACGTTCTGTCACTCTTGATAATATTTAACCGAAACAAACGACGAGTTCTGCGACCTGCCGTTTACGGAGGGAGAAGTACAAGAGTGGCAATACAACGACTCATCTCTTTCTTCCATCAATTTAATCACACACGTCTCCACTACGAACGAGCAAAAGTGAGCCAAAAATAAAACAACAGTTCTATTGTAAGGAGGTGCTAAAGAATTTTGTGCGCGTGCACTAAGTTCCTAAATAATTTCCGGAAGTCATACGTTCAAGCATTTAAAAAAAAAAAAAAATGTTTGAAATCAAACACGCTAAAAAAAGCGTTTTTTCTTGTTCCAGTAATTTAATTCAAACAAATAGTATAATTCTACTTTGTTAAATGTTATGTATTTTATTCTCTTACTTTTAGGTTAAAAATTTTATTTAAAATATATATTTTTTGTTACTCTGAAAATTTTCAACGCAATTTAAATATATCCTAGTTTTTATAACTTTAATGTCATATCTTCACATTTATTTTAACTTCATATTCAATAGTAGATACACTAATTTTTAAGTTTTTGGATTAAAATATTAAAAAAAAAAAAAAAGAAACATAGATTTCTATAATTAGGGTTATGAGTTTACGTAAAAAGCATAGTACTAATTATAAAATTTATGATAAAAATACGGACTTAAATTTTTGATTTTATTATTTAAAATTTTTAGTTATATTATGTAAAAAATAAAAAAGATTATTTTTTAGAAAATAATTTTAGTTATTTTTAAATAAAGAAGGTAAATGAACAATCATTCAACCTACAAATTTATTTAAGTTCCAGTGTTATAAGTTTATGTACAGGCACGTAATCAGAAAATGTTTACTGGAAAAGTCAACGATTTTTATATTTTAATTGTTACAAACAATGAGAACAATAGAAACCCGTTTCCTTATTTACTGAACACTCTATAGAGTTTATATATATATTTATATATATATTTTTACTTTATATATATATTTAGTCTATATATATATTTTGCATAGGTTGCTCTTATTAGAAATTTTTAAAGGTTACTTCTTCACAATATCCTTGAAGGGTGGAATTCATATTTAGAATCTCTTCAGTTCATAATATATCTTAATTAATCTTACTAAATTAGATTTTTTTCATTATGTACAAGCTCCATAACGTTTTGTTATTTGCAAGAATAATAATTATTATAAATTGTATTTAGGGGGGCAGGAACGTTCTTAGAAGAGAGCAAGTGAGTACTATCGCTTCGGATCAAATTTTTTTTGTAATTAAAGGGTGACATAATTTTTTTGTAACCATAATACTTAAAATAGAGGGGTATGTGGTGCAGCAATAAAACTTTACCTGAGGCGTCAAAACTCTAAATACATCTCTGTGGGGTGCCGGAACAAACTAACAATTTGGTCTATAATGAATAAATTTTAACATGCTGTAACAAGTAAACATTATTAATTGGATAAAAAAAATGTTAGAAAAATTGTTTGTTATTGTTTTTATACAATATTATTAAATTAAAAATAAACTTAAAAATATTAAATGTAAGCTAACTTTCAGGAAGTCTCTTAGGAAGGTCATAGCTCGTTCGCCAATTTCACACAAACTACGTCATAAATAACGCAATACAGATTAATTAATAGATACAAAGGTTGATGACATTTTTTATTTCAAAACACAATAGGAGACTTCTTATAAATTTCAGTTATAGGGATATTTTATATTAAATATATATATATATATATATATGTATACATACAATTATATATATATTGAAATTTATTTTCAATGAATGAAAAATAAAATACTATTATAAAAAAAATAAATAGAAATTTAAAAAACATGGTCTTTAATTAATTTATTATTAATCAAAATAATTTATTATGCGCTTTAATAAAATACTTAAGATATAATAATTACATTTTTCGGTAAAGTAAAACTAAATGTGTTTAATATTTATTTCATATGTTACTCGTTTAGATGTTTGTTAAAACATAAAAATACATTTAATCTATTATTGTTATAAATAAGAATCTTAATACTTAAGATAAGAGAACATTAAAATATCAAACAGAGTAAATTTTTGCAGATTTTAGTGTTCATTCAATTAACATATAGAGTGCTCAGAAAGTAAGGAAACGGGTTTCTATTGTTCTCGTTGTTTACAACAATGTTTCTGTTTTCTTACTTACTGAACACCTTGTATAAAAAAAAAGATGTCACTCTTTACAAAAATATCTGTTCTAGCTATCAATGGTATATGATAAATTAAAATTTGAGTTCGTAGTGAAATTATAATCAATTAACGAAGGTTTTAATAATCCAACTTTCTTTAAGCACGTTCGAATTGAACAGTTGAAATTTCTATATGAATATTATATTTACACTAAAATTCACGTTCCAGAATTAAAGTCGACGAAAAATTGTTTATTTAATGATCAATATATTTTTAAATATTTCCATAAATGTTTGTAAAAATAACTATAATGTTTAATTAATCATGTATAAACATATTCTTAATAGATTTAGCACACTAATTCTAAACACATACATATGAGATCGCTAAGATTTGACAAATACAATAAATTTCATTCATTAATAATTTTACTGTATTATTATTTTTTTTTGAATATTTAAACTACCTTAAAAGCATATTTATTATTATTTATCTCTAATAAGAAATAAATATACATAATTTTATATTTTTTCAGTGTGATTTTTTCAACTTCGACGTGAAGATTTTTTCTTTAAACAATAGAACACAATTTTATGTACATTTCAATACCCGCAAAATTTTGCATTAAGAATGTTTATTGACAACGTGCACGTTATTATCATTTCTATTGTGCAAAATGTTTTAGAGGACCTATGTTAATGTTTCTCTTTGCTTGTAAATCTCTCATTTCAACAGCAATAGGTCATATATAACATTGAATCGCCATCTTGATGCACCTCGTGTCCTGATCATTCGGTTTAAAGTCAAACAAATGACTTAAATACCATACTGATGTATTGTTACGTTTTACATGTAGATAAACACAATAATACGTAGTACACTTTTTTCCCATAATTGCTATTGAAGGCATTTTATGTTAAGTCATCTGTTAATGATATAACCGTGCAATTTTTTTCGTAGGTATTGAATTTATTTTTTCTTACAGCTTCGCGCCGAACGAACATGTCCCATCCTCAGGGGCCGCTGCGCTGGAATAAAAGAAAATTCGAGAAAACGATTTAGAACGGTCGCGCATCTTTGACCTTCCGCACAGTCGAACAGTGTTAAAAAATAAGTATATGACGTTCAAGGTGGTTTTTTGTGCCCGAGCGACCTTGGACACAATTTAAAAAGTATGAGTAAGATATTTTTCTGGAAGAAGAGAAAAAAATATCGCTTGTCAGGAAAATGAAAACTCGGCGGAACGCATGTAATAATAGTAATTGCAGTTGTCACATGACTCTAATACATGTGCATGTGTGTACAGAGTATATTATTCAGCCGGTGCCACCGCACCAAGTCGTATCGTCTGCCGTAATTGCGATCCGCCTAGTGCTTAAGAATACATAAAAATATTAGCGCAATTACAAGTTCGAACGGTCTATTGTTTTTTCACGTTGTCGTCGTTTTAGTACGAACATGCTGACAACCGGAACAATCTTGTTAAATGCATTGTTATGTATACGAACATATGGAGTGTCTTATCCATACCTTATTCCGCCGCTTTTTTTATTTCATTTCAGTGTACTTGCTATAGCGCAACTGCACTCAAACTGCGTATACGCCGGTCGGAGTTGTCACACTGGTCACTAGAGTCAAGTTGGTTGATTCATTTGGATGACACCATCATAATTACTGTTACTGTTAACAATTTTAAAAGTGCATCGTTTCAAAAAAATTATGCATTTTACCAAATTCACTAAATTTTTAATTTCCCGTAAATGTCAACGTTCACATCAATTCGACTCTCGACTCCTTCTCTTATAATTAATACTTCTTAAATTGCGATCTAAAAAATGTCTACAATACATATTAACATAAATATATCCTAAGGCGATACATTACTAAATTTTATGTATTGCACATTTTATGAACATCGTGGAATGCGACTTAAAAAAATTATGATTTTACTATGAAATATCATAAGAGGTTAAAACAATTATAACAATTAAATAAAAACTAACTAACTTATTTACCAAGAAAGTTTTAAATTTATAAATAGGCCTTTTAAAATTTTAAATAATTTATCAAGTATATTTCTAAAAATGATAGGTATTGATTTCACATTCGTGAAAGGCTTACTTAATGATATAGACCACTACAAGATCAAGATGTGTCAACATCTAATGACTGGAAAAGTCCTGGATTTGTAATATTTTTGATTTGAAGTCTCATGGGCAGGATGAATATGAATCTAAACACAAACAAATTTCTTAATTTTTGTTAATAATTTAGAGTAGGCTATTTATGAAAACTAATAAATGGTTAATAACCTAATATTACAGATGTATATTTACATTAGTAAATTGCTAATACAGCTGTAAAATTTATATTGACGTAGACAATTTTTCATTTAAATCCAACAACGACAAATTTATGAAGCGAGTCCCGTTGTTGATTACACTTTAAAAATTATACCGATTGTTATTCATTCAATTTCGTCATAGTTTATGGAAAAATTGAGGAGAACCCATTAATGTAAAATAGTAACATAAAATTTGTACATCAATATCCATTTTTTTTATACATTTGAGTAATTATTTTTATTTTCCCAAGAAAAATCTATAACATCTATTTGTTTACAATATTTTCCCTTTAGTATAACGCAAAAAATAAAATGAATCAATTAATATCAAAAAAAAATTTCCATATGGTTTATAGAACATTAAATTATATCACTTGATTGTAACTGCATATAGTTGAGTGAAGAATTAGATATATAAATAAATTACAAAAATATAACAACTTATATTCATGAAAAATATAATTTTTTATATATGCATGAACACTTTTATGTGAACGTTTGCCTTATTCTATAATTATATATTATAAAATATGTGTATGTGTAAATTCAGGCAACGTGTTATTATTTTAAATTGCAGTAATATCAAAGTAGCAAATCGTTTAAAATAAAAATAACATATTAACATTTTAAACAACTAAAATGATATTATTAAAAATGATATTTTCCTTTAGTTGAAACTACAAGTAAAACTTGTACTCGGTTTTAAAACAAAGATTTTTAATGAACTGAAAATATTTACTTTTATGTTATATTGTAATTTATTGTATTTATTATAATTATGGATACTATATAGTATCTGATTTATTAATTTTACTCAAAAGTATTTTGAACGTTATTTATGTTTTTTGAGATAAACAAATTGAAAATAAAGACCTGAAAACAATAAACTGTATCAATGGCGTGAAAAATATTGTATGCCGTGCACATCTTCTTCATTAGATCGTCACCTTCGGTAATTACTAACGAGAATCGAATTTATCTTTCCCGTTCTACACAGATAATTTGCAAACGTCAAAAAACAAAACAACACAACAAAAAAACAGACGAATTAACACTAGTCGTCTGTGTTCAATTAGCGAACATAGCAAGATGTATGCACGTTATATGTGCTGAATTTACGATAAATTATTTTCTGTATAGTCCAATTATTGGTCTATTGTCTTAACTGAGAACGCCTTAGATGAAGACGATCAATTGTGTTTACTTTAACGATATCTTGCTAAGAACACAACTACTATATAGAATAAGTTACGTTTAATGTTGTCAATTTTTTGTTTATTTACTCGAATTAAATGGTTCTATTTCAATTGGTTGAATTTATTGTTTACTTTTTCTTTTCACAACACCTGAAAAAAAAATCAGATAAATAAGTGNTCTTAACTGAGAACGCCTTAGATGAAGACGATCAATTGTGTTTACTTTAACGATATCTTGCTAAGAACACAACTACTATATAGCATAAGTTACGTTTAATGTTGTCAATTTTTTGTTTATTTACTCGAATTAAATGGTTCTATTTCAATTGGTTAAATTTATTGTTTACTTTTTCTTTTCACAACACCTGAAAAAAAAATCAGATAAATAAGTGAAAAAAGAGTTGCCATGAATGTTTCTTGGACAAACATCAAATATAATCTTAAACATACCAATCATATAAAGACATAGTATAGGTACATAATAAATTACATTAGAACGCGCGATAAACAAGAACCTGACCAGCATATTTAACTTACTGTAGTCAGAATCACATAAACATAACAAGTAGGACAAATCGCGTTGTCTCTTCAAATCAAACTTAACTGTTTATTTCGTGCAAACTCTTATCACAAATCACTACTATTTTTTGTTTTCAAGTGACGTGCAAACGTTAGTTTAATGATGGCTGTCTGATAGAAATTAGAGATTACATTACATTATAGTATACCTTTAGAGTTGTTTTATTTGCTCTAAATGCATGTGATACTTGAAGCTAGCTCAAGTTTTTTGGTTCAGATTTAAAGAAACATAATTTCTAAGCATTTTAAGTATACCACAAAATTGTAGTGTGTTTCATTGATTAATAATGAAAATTTAGGAGTTTTCTTCTTTTTCTACCTCGCCTTTACTCCAACTACTTGGCTTGACCACCCTTACCCTAAGCTTTGACTTGACACAATTTCCCACATCATCTTCGCATATATTATCCGTCCTCATATCGCAATCAATAACATCCCTTCATCTCTTTTTTGGTCTTCTTCCTTCAATATCCATAACTGTTCTTACGACTTCCGATTCTCTCTCCCCATTTTAAAACAGATAAAAAAAAGGATAATTTAGGACTACTAAATTAGGAGTATATCTGAAAATTATTTGAAAGAGTTGGCTAATTTAGATAACTGCAAGGAGGTTCGCTGAGTATGTTTTTTGAGGATAATATTTATAATTAATAAAAAAATCTCCGATTTAGATGATTAACCTATCCAACCCTCTCAAATTTGCCAACATAATAGATCTAAATGAAAAGATCTATTGTTTTAAATATTGTACAGACAATTAACTTAAAATTAGTTTGTATGGGATTTTTATTAGAGAATTAATTTGCAACAAGTATTAATTTTATAGTTGTTTTTTAGCTCGATTTCTTATTAAGAAGATATTAAAATTTAATATTATATAGAGATTTCAGTTATTTGTCTACAGTTAACAATTTATATTAAATAAGAGCCTTGACATAATACAGAAAACAATATTGCCGGGAAATGAATAATTTTAATGAACAAATACATTGTAAGTAGTGTCCCATACGTATAATTAAGTGAAAACGAACATTTTTTAAAACTATACTGCATGAATGGTCCTTGGTTTATTGTCTTTGCTTACGAATAACAAAACGTTTCTGCGCCACGCATTTTGAAGACTAACATCTAAGTAGGTGTTAACATATAGTAATTAAATTTTGGTACCATAAATAGATGTGTGATATTGAAAAACGAGATCATTGTGTGTAAAAAAAATTGTACATTTTGAAACATTGATATGCTTGTAATTATAACAAATTTTCAAGGTTTCAAATACATTTATTGAAAAAATAAAATAACGAAAAAAAAAGTACCGTGTCAATGGAGAGTCATTAAACAATTCAATATTTTTGCAAATACGCAATTATGAAAAATTTGAGTACATTGTCTATTCTATCATAATAAAATGATTTTTTTACAATATTTTTACAGTTAAATATTTGAACGGTTTATAATATATACGTCCAGCTGTTTCCTTAAAGATTATTTAGTTTTATGATCCAAACCTTATTTTGCCCGTGACCCATAAGCAATTGTGTGGAACTAAATAGGATTTGAATGAGCGATTGTTAAAATTTAGATAAAGTACCTACGTCGAAGTGCAAACAAAATATCATTTAACTAAACAAGTTTTTCCCTTGAATGTTTTATCATAATGTTGTTACTCGGTAATCTTTTTAAATTGTGATGAATATCCCAATGAAAAATATTATGTTTTACAGTAAATAAAAAGTAAGTAAAGAATATTCATCCCCGATAGTACATAATAGGAATATCACCCGAGCCTGCCGCGATAGTAAATTGCCTACTTGAAATGCCGTTCATTGCTAAATTGTTATTTATACAAAAATTACCTTCTATACACTTCTGAAATTAAATATATTTGATTTATAATACATTTATTTTATTATGTTCCGCGTAGACTCCAGATTGCATTAAGAAATTGTATATCCCATGACAATATTCGCTTAAAAATGTAACTACGAAAAACAAATAGCATGTCAATTCATAGCACGTCGACCAACCGAATTGGCATCACTTGTTCAATTTCCAATGAGTCATCAAGTCTTGAGACCTATAAAAGACGACATTCATTAAAATATGAACTATAAGACAATCTGTTTAGATATTTAAGTTTAAATTAAAACAATTATTAAAATTTTAATCAACTATTATGTAGATTTAAATCATTTTATGGAAGTAATCATAAATTTTAAACTGATTGTATTTTAGGTTGATTTTTTAAAACTTTTATGTTCCAGAAAATAGACCCATACTTTATAGGCTAGAGTATAACTTTTAATCAAAATAAGTATACCTTATACGTCATAAAAAACTTTTTATCGTGATGAAATAATTAGCATTTGAAAAGTTATAGTGAAAAACATACTATAAGTTGTGTATATTTTAAATTTATTATGAGTGAATAATATGGTTGTCATATTCAATGATGCTTAAAAAACATCTTCTCTTTTTTGTTGATATTTAACATATCATTGATGACTGTTAGCGCTAACAACAATAAACGTTTATAAAAATCTTAATACTTCTACTTTAAGGTACTACCAAAAAATAGCAACTGGATAAGATTGAAATTTAGATCCTTAAGAGTTTCTAAATAATTTAATATTTATAAGATGTTTATTGATCGTAAATATTGTCACAAGAGTTATCAATTCTTTATTAATTGTGTCCAATGTCAAATTTAAATAAGATTCAAAAATATTTCAATATATGAAGGTTTTAGGGACAATACAAAAACCTGGCACAAATTATTTTAAAATATTCGGTTAAAATCAAATGTCAACTGATCACTGGTGACTTTATAAAGTAATCTACAAATGATTGTTGATTTTTTTCAACTGTGAAGTATTGATGTCTATTTTTTATTTCTCTGAATTATATGCTAACCAAGGGCATCACCTCAGGATACTCGACCGTCATAGAGACACTAACGTCGTCGTTGAACTTGTTGAATTTTTCAGGAAGATTATTTTTTTACACATTTAATTGTATTTACTTTAACTTCAACAGGTAATTCCCGATTGTTATAAATTATCGTGTTTATAAAAGATATTCAAATTAATTGTTTTGATAAAAAAACGGCACAACTGTGACTATAATTTATTAATGCATATTAATGATAATGATGTTTACATTTCCTTGATACATTTTTCTAAGAAAAAATAAAAATTTATCCCAATAATTTTAAATATTTATTTATATACTTCTTGAATAAATTTTCATAATTCAATATTTTATAGCAAAACAATATAACAATCGAATCTTACAAAATTATTTGGTATAAAAAATTTCTTTTTTGAAAATGACTAAAGTCCTCCCTTTTTCTAACATTCAGAACTTAATGAAAGCTTTTAAAGATAAATTTTATTATTAAACATAAATATTATATTTCACTTTTGAACTTTTAGTTAAAAAAAATGTACTTCTTTGACCATTGTTTTTATCTCTCTTGTAAATAAATCGAAAAATACACAACAATTTATGATACCTATAATTAAATTATTACATATGTCTATGTACTATTATTGTTATACTTTTATGTTAATAAAAATAATTGTGTAGTTAACTGCATTAAAACCAACCCAACTACAAAAAATTTTTTTTCAGAATAAATTTATTCTTGAATTGAGCTAATTATGAGGAAACAATTATCAAGCGTACTAAATTAATTCGATTTCTTCTAGCCCTTGAAAGTGTGCTATTAAAACTATAATGATTATTTCACCAAATAAAAATGTATTAATACAACTCGAGTAAAACTAATAAAATCTGTTTTTTTTTTTGTTTTGTATAAACAAATTATAAACATATTATAACGTGTTTTTTTCTAAAACATCGCCTTGGATGAAAGGAAAGTGATTAGTGCTATACTCTTTTATACGCCTCTTTTTTACGATAAATATATAAAAATAATTATTTGTCTTTTTGTTTATTAAAACAACTAATAAGGTTAATTTGTTTACAACTTATTTTTAATTGGTACTTAATAATTATCATATATTATCAGTAATTAGAAATGATCATCCGCGCATTATTTTTTTGAAAAATTAACAATTTAATTTTAATAGATCAATTTTGTCATTGGCAAAACAACGGTATCTTTCAAAAGACTTGATTGTTTTTCTATTGTTTGTTACATATTTTGAAAAATGTAAAATTATAAAATATTCGAGGTCTTAAATAATTATAACAAGGTGTCATTTAATATGACTAGTTTCAAATCACATTATTAGCATATTAAATCAATCGAGTATAGGAAGTTGCGTAGCAAAAATAATTACGTTTTTTTATTTTGACATCAACTTTAATGCAAATTTGTTGGCAAAAGTTTTTTTGGTTTAAATTTGATTACCAATATTTATGACAAAATGCTCAAGGCTGGTTTATTAACACCGCCAATCTTTAAGTAAAATTTTTTTAATTCTACATCGTGATATTATGTTGAGTTTTTGGCCGTTTTTATTAAT